ACCTACAGAGCCTGCATCTCATTAATCCCCCACATATACCTACACAGCCTACATCTCATTAATCCCCCACGTATACCTTACACGGCATACATATCTTGTTTTGTCGACTTCAGAAAAGCTTTCGACTCAGTTTGGCAAGGTGGACTTTTAATTAAGTTATTACAAATTAATGTCGGTGGCTGTGGTTTCAATTTAATAGAGCGTGTATTCAAACTCTACACGTTCCATAAAAATTGGCTAACATCAAACACAGCCCCTTCCATAGGAAAGAGGGGTACGCCAAGGTTGTATTTTGAGCCCATTACTGTTCAACCTCTTTTTGTTCAACCTCTATTGGCACTTGATAAATTGAAAGAAAAGGTCGTTTAGGCCCTTTTCAGTCTTAGAAAACACACAAATTCCAGCAAATTATCTCCATTCCTAGCGAATAAAATTTTCGACGCAGTGATCTCCCCAATTTTGACCCAATTTTTTAACAGTGAAGTTTGGGGTGCATATGCAAAATCTGATCTCAAGTCTTGGGACAGTTCCCAGATCGAAAACGACACATCTCTTATTCTGTAAACGTCATTTAGAGGTAAGCAATAAGGCATCCAATGTAGCATGTAGAGCTGACCTTGGTAGGTTTCCTCTCGTTATAGCTATCAATCAGAAAATCATGAATTACTCCTCATATCTTCTAAAGTAAGGGTAATTGCTCTATTGTTAAACTAATCTTTCTCATGTCGCAAGATCTTCATCACGCTGGTAAAAATAGTTATTATCCTGATATAATAAGTATGTCTGAATATTACAGTTTCTCCTGTTTCGATCTTACGTACTTAGCTAACGCGACCCGCGAACTGCGATCCGCGCTGATTAGACACTCACGTCCGAGACGAACGATGCCGATTTGAGTTGTTTCTTTACCTGGTCCCGGTGTTCAGATGACCCCGCTGCTGATACGGGGCTGTTAAACAGAATTCTTAGCCCCGGGGAGGGGAAATAAACCATCTTTTAACTCTGGGTAAAAGTTAAATTCCCCGGGGTTCGGGGGGCCGGCATTTCAATTGACTGATGCATAAACCAATTATGACTAGGAACAAAAAGACGTAATTAAGTTAAGAAATTGATAGTCTGAGCTCCTTACAGTCATTACATAAAGTTAATTGCCGCTTTTCATGTGACGTCATCATTTTCCAAAATAAGAAATTACCGATCCCTCTGAAGTTTAAGTTTCATCAGAC